AAGGAAGGAAGGAAGGAAGGAAGGAAGGAAGGAAGGAAGGAAGGAAGGAAGGAAGGAAGGAAGGAAGGAAGGAAGGAAGGAAGGAAGGAATTGCCAAAATGGAGCTCAAGTAGGGGTGAACAGGAAGGAAATGGGCTCATTTCACCCCTACAGGACCGCAACATCCACGGAGACAGGACTGCAGCCAAGGTGAGTGGCTCTCCCCAGCCCAGCCAGTGCCCCTGCCAGCACCAAGGGAGACGTGGTGGAGCTGGGCATCCTGTGTGGCCAGGACTGGCTGGGACCSTGCTCAGATGGAGCCAAAGTCAGCTGTCCATGCACCCCCCTGCAGTCTGGGCACAGGGCTGCTGGTGGCAGCAAGATGAGGCTCTGCCAGCCCTCAGCCTGGGACAGGCAGGCTCACCTGCAACTGGGCCTGCTCACTGGCCCCAGGGTGAGCTGGCTCTGAAGTTGCTGGCCTTTCAGCACAGTCACGGGAACCCCTTGGAGGGCAGCCAGACCCCCTGGGTCCCTCTGTGCTGCACGGCCCCAAGGGGCCCCCCCAGCTGGTGGCACCTCCTGCTCAATATGCAGGGTGCATGTCCTCACAGCGCCGTGGGGACAGAGCATCACCAGCAGCACAGGCCAGGCCCCAGGGCTCCATCTTGGCACCAAGGTGGTGCTGGTCCCGGTGGGGTCACCGGGCAAGGACAGTGCCAGCCCACAGCCCCCCCTCCACACCCTCCAAAATAGCCCGGCTTCCGCCCCCACGGCAGCTGCCTGCTGCCAGCTCCCCGCTGCCCACGGCTGATCCCGGGGAAGGAAGGGGGGCAGGCGACTCTAATCCCCCCCATTGCCCCCCCCTCAAGCCCACACAGCACTGCCAGTGAGSCTTTGCCCTCCACAGCCACTCCAACCCACACAGCGCCACTGGTGAGACCCCAGCCAGGCCAGCACCACAGGGAGGGTGATGACCCCACAGCTCCACAGCGGAGCAGGCCAGGGGCAGTCCCTGTGCACCCCTCTGTAGGACRTGGGGCTGTCCCCAAGGCCCACCACACCAATTGCCTTGTCACCACCCAAGCAGGACCCAAGGGTCTGTTCCCCTCTCTTCCTTGGCCCTGCAGTGGGGCTGATGATCCTCCTGTCCGCCCTTGCTACAGCTCCGAGCCCTGTGCCCTGATGGATGCCCACGGGAGGGCAATCAAAGTAAAATTGCTGGCATGCCACTGTATGCAACATATGCCAGCCAACACAGTCACACTGTCTATCTCGCTGGTGAGCAGGGTGGGCAGTGCCTGGCACCCACCCTGCCCCGCACCCAGCGCCTGGCAGCAGGACTCCCTTACCCTCTATCAACTCCAGCTGCTTCCCACGGGGCCTGGGGACACGACAGAGACGGCCGGGCAGAATGGAGCACACAGTGCAACCGAGGCTGCCAGGAGAGGCCAGAGCTCGCCTGACCTACTTCTCCTTCCGCATCACCTGCTTTCATTTTCCTTCACCCTGCCTGGTGCCCCTGCTCGCCCATGGCTCCATCAAGCCATCCCACAAGTTCTGGGGATACAGGTCACCCAGGTGCCTGCGTGTCAGCTGGCCCCCCAGCCCTGGGCACGGGCACCCTGAAGGTCACCAGCCATGGCCCAGGCACCACCACCCCCTGCCTGCTCGGCTGCCCAAGCACCACCTTCCTGGCACAAAGCGAGTTTGACGGGTCTCAGCCCAGCCCCTCGACAGGTCCTCTCACCGCCCTGGGGCCTGCTGGGGTGTGGACATGCAGCTCTCAGGGCATGTCAGGGACGCCAGCGCTGCCACGGGGAGCCAGGCGGGCGCCAACCCTCCAGACGGGGAGGCCGCTCCCACCGGCACCCTGCCTGCTCCCGCTGTGGAGTTACCATGGGAAGGCAGTGCTGGTGGCGCAGGGGGAGCACAAGCTCCCAGGGGCTCCCGCCAGCAGCCCACACGCTGCCAGGAGAGATTTCTCCCCGGTTTCATCATCTGCCGCCTGCCCTGAAGGAGAAGTTCCTGCTTCGCGCACGGGGCAGCAGGCACCCCTCGAGGGCTGGGGTGCAGCAGGGGCTGCGCTGGTCGCACATCCCCTTGCTGTGCCCACTCCCCGCCCCCATGTGCTCAGGCCTGTCGCACTCGTGCCACGTGTGCACTGAGGGTGCACGGCAGCAGCTGGCAGAGCCGCGCTGCCACAGCCTGGGGCTCAGCACCACAGCACTCGGGGCAGCCTGCGCCCAGGCGGGGGGTGTCACAGGGTCCCCAGGACCCAACACTCATGTGCCCATCTGTCACCTCCCCGTGCTCACCTCTGCGTGCCTGTCGCCAGCACGGGCACTCCCAGCCCTGCTGCCCCACACTCTCCATTGCCCCAGAGTTTCCTCTTCTCCGTGCACMCACTTTAAGTTCCTCAGCTCAGTCCCTCCCTCCGCACCCAGCACCAGCATCACCGCTGAAGCTTTGAGTCTCTGCAGTCACCGCACGTCTCCGGCAGTGCTGGGGATCCCAGCCTGCTCCCCCCTTCCACTAGCCCAGCTGTGGTGGGGGAAACTGAGGCACGGTGCAACTCACCCCACGACAAAGCTGGCACTGTGTCCCCTCGCCAAGTGAACGCAGCCACGGATCAAGGGYGGCTGTGGCCCAAGACGTGGATCTGCTCCGGCAGGAGGGTAAATACCGCACCCCGCCCCGGGCAAACAGCGGCCGGGGGCAGCCAGCCAGGGGGACGAGGACAGGTACGGCAGGGCTGGGCACACGGGGCAGAGTCCACCGGTGTTTGGCGGGTGCTACCACAACACCGATCCCGTTGGGGACCACTGCACAGCCGAGCAATGAGGCACCCACTGCTGATGCCGTTGTGCCAGGTCCAGGGGTCACCAGCATGGCACAATGTGCTAGGACACTGGGATACCCCCAACTCTTCCAATACTGGTGTAATAATGCRCTCCCTGAGCTGCCTTCCCCCTGCAGCGGTGCCGTCCCTGCCCGGTGCACCGGGCACGCCGCCAAGCTGCTCGCCAGGTTAGGAAGGGGAGTGGTGTTGGGACGGTGGGAGCACCCGGCCACCCGTGGGAGAGCTACGGGGGACCCYGGCTGGATGCAGCACCGCAACAGGACCACAGTGGAGATTTGGCAGCCACCCCGGTACGCAGCGGGAACCTGCCGATGTCACAGATTTCCCGCAGCCCCGTGCGCAGGGACGGGGAACAGCCCACGAGTGACACCCCCCGCCCCACGGGCGACGTGTCCACCGGCTCCGGCGGCGGACGCGGATAGAGGGGACCGTGCGGTGATCCGYGCGCCGTCCGTGCCCGCCCGCCGCCTGCAGCATCCCAAATCCACGCGACTCACCGCAACCGGGCAGCAAAAGCTGTCGCTGCACCGGTCCCGGTCCCGGTCCCGATCCCGCTGCCGGTGGGTCGGCACCTCCGCGCAGCCCCCGTCCGTAGGTCTGTCCACTCCCACCCACCGTCGCTCACCTGCTCGCCCTGCCCGAGCCACAGACCGGTCCCGGGGCCACGGCCCCGCCTCCGCCTTCACCTGCCGCCGCCGCGCCCCGCCCGCCCCCCGGCCACTGCCGCCGCCGCCGCCGCCACCGGGGCTCCAGGAAGCGCCCGCCCCCGCCTGCTCATTGGGCAGAGCGCCGGCGGTCACGGGTCCGATTGGAGGGGTGCCCCGCCCATCACCCGCGCCACACCCCCCTCGGGAGGGTGGGGGTCTTGCGGGCCCCCGGGACGGGGCTGCGCGGGTGGGGGTCAGCTGYGTCAGGAGCGGGGTAACGGGACCGGGCGGGAGCTCGGCCCCGGCTCTGGAGAGGAGAGCACGAGACGAGCCCGGTGCGGCCCCGCCGGCGCCGAGAGCGGTGCCAGGCGCCGAGCGCGCCCCGCCCGCTGCGGCCGCCGAGTGCCGGGGCGGCACGGCACTGCCCGCTCCGCCCCGCGGACACGGGAGGCGGGGAACCGGGCACGGGGGGGGTAAGAACCGAGATGTGTGCACCGCGGGAGAGTTACGAGTGCCAGGCACGAGGAACAGTGCATAGGGTGAGGTGGGGTGTAGAGAGCTGGGCTCGGGAAACCGGGCACCGAGAAGCGGGCACCGGGCGACTGGAGTGCCGGGCACGGGGGAAGGACACGGAGAACGTGGCACCAAGGGGTGCCGGGCGCCGGGCGGGAGGAGGGGCGCGGCGCGGGGTGCATCCCCCTGTTCCCGGCGGCGCTGGAGCTGGGCGCGGCGGCCCCCAGCGGGGTGGCTCCTTGGCAGGTGCCTGGGCGCGGGCCCCGCGTAACCTGTTTGGCCGCTGCCGGCTCTGGGAGGCAGCGGCGGCCCCGGCAGGAGCGGCGGCCGCGGGGCTCACCTCGGCTCACCCCGGCCCCCCCGCTTCTGGCTCGGAGCGCGGCCACTGCCCGGCGCTAGCGGAAAGTGTGAGGAGCCGCCGCCGCCCCGGGGCTGCCAAGGCAAACACGGCCCCGCGCAGACGTTATGTCAGTGGGTGGGGGGGCCGCGCCGGGGCACAGAACGGGACCCCCACCCCTTTCGCCAGGCCCCGGTACCGGGCACCTGCCGCCGCGCCTCGCCTAGACACCCGCTTCGTTCTCCTCGGTTTTGTCCCTCTGTCCGTGCACCTGCATTCCTGTCGAGGGCACCGGCCCGCCAGGCTCCGGGCTTCCGCGGGGGCGGCGGGGGGAATCCGCAGAACACCTTCCCCGCGGCGCCGCTGCCGCCGACCCCCGGCTCAGTCGCTCCCCGGCCGTGCCCTCGGGCTACGGTTCGCCATCGCCGCTGCGCTCTGCCACTGCGTGCGGCTCCCGGTATCTCTCCCTGCCCGCTCCCCTCGAGGCGACACCGACGGGCGCGGTCGCAGCTTACCTCTGGCGGCGGGGCCRAGACCGGGGCCGGGCGGGGGCCGCGGGCTCAGCCGGGCCGGCGGCGTGGCAGGAAGGACCGGGTGGTCATCACGGCCCGCGGCGGCTGCCTGCAGAGGGCACTGCTGGTCCCCGGAGCCGAGCTCCGGAGGCGGCACCGGTAAACGTAGGGACACGGGGGTCTCTTGGTGCCGGTGGCATCGTTTATTTGTGTTTAAAAACTGCAGACACGATTCGGCAATCCCGGATTCCCACGGCTGCACTTGCTCGAGGCTCCCCCATGCTGCCAGAATGGTTGAAGGATTCCCCGGGCCTGTGACCCACCTTGGGTAACCCTGAACCAGCCCCCACCCCAGGAGTGCTCACCAGCCTCCCCCTTCATTCTACATCCCCATACCTACCCGGCTGTTCTAGCCTGTCCACACTCGAGCTATGCTCACCTGCCCCAGCACCTGCCCCACATTCCAGCTGTGCTCACCTGCCCTCCCCTTCGTTCTACCTGCCCCATACCTATCCAGCTGTTCTAACCTGCCCCACACTCCAGCTGTGCTCACCTGCCCTATCCCCCAGCAGTCCCAGTTCACTCCCGTTCCCCTTGTCTGCTGTGACACCCAGGCCCACAGCTCCCCCCGCCTCCTCCCCACTCCATCCCACTTCCCTTCTGTCCTACTTCCCCTGTCCCCACCAGCCCTGGCTGCTGCCCCCAGGCCTTGCCCTGAGAATGGGGACTCCTACCTCATGCTTAGTTTTTGGTTGTTTTTTTTTTTTTTAAAATAGATAAATTAATATAAACTTGAACGTTAAAATAATAATTAAAAAAATATTAAATAGCGCCCTGTGTCACTGAGAGCCCAATGGCTGGGGGAAGCAGGTGCTGGCAGGGTGGTGAGCCAGGCAAGGGGGGTGCTCAGCACTGGAGCAGAGAATCCCCAGAGCCAGGACAATCCTGCTGCAACACAACCCTGGAAGACACAGGCCAGGGGACAGTAGAAGGGCCCTCCAGCTTGTGAACCTGCTTTGGGGGAGCTCCCTGGCACTGCCCCCCAGCCCCAGCCTCTCAGCGTGGCCGGTTCAGCAGGACCTCAAGCCAGCATGGGCAGGAGGTGATGAACTGCCGGGAGTAGCAGGGTCCCCAGCCCTTGGCAAAGCTGATGCGGATGCTGTGGGGGTCACAGGGTCCCTCCCCAGGGAGCTGCCAGCCCCCTCTGTCCCCTGCCCGCTCATAATCGAACACCTTTGCCGAGTAGCCAGGCAGCACCTTGAGGACAGTGAGCCCGCAAGCACCGGTGGGGCTCAGGGTGGGCGAGCTGACGAAGATGGGGTGCTCACTGCGGTTGTACGCCCAGACACCCCCTGGCTCCTGGCTCAGCAGCAGCCCCCGGCCAATCTTGCCTCGTGCCCGCCGGACGGCACGGCTGCGGTGGGCAGCTGGCAGCTGGGCCAGGCAGAACCCACTGCCCCGGGGCAGCTCACAGAAGACATTCACCGATGCCTCATGCACAGCGTAGAGGCGGCCCACGCGTGTCCGGTACTCCCAGTAAGCCAGTTTGCACCAGCAGCCATCCTTGACGGTGCTCCGTGAGAGGCTGGTGTCTGACAGGGGAGAGCAGAGCTGTCACCACCASGACATGACTGAGCCAAGCAGCTGGACAGGGCAAGGGGAGTGGACACAGGGTGGGTATGAGGACAGATGGAAGGATGTGGCACACCAGCAATGCTTATGCAGTGGGCATGAGTCTCTGGAGCTGTTACCAGTCCCCGAGTACCGTGGTGAAGGGGTAGGGGAGGGCTGTGAGGAGGATTGGTCCCTGGGTGCAGGGGAAGGTGGGGCAGTGGCGGCTGGCGGCTTTGGTGGCCAGCAGCCAGGAGGGAGCTGCGGCTGTGTGCGTCAAGGCACATTGTGTGTGTCCCCATAGGCAGCGCTTCCTCCAGCAGGGAGCCTGGCGCCGCCAAAAATAACAGGATCTTTTGGGGGGGGCGGTGGGGGGCAGGCTACTCCCCCAGCAGGAAGCCCTCATCCCATGTCGGAGCCTTTTCCTCCTGCTGGGAGTGACTGCTGGCTCCATTCCCTGATTTTCATGTTCTGTCCCCTCCAATCTCTGCTCCTGAGCCAGRGGTTCAGCCCTGCCCAGTGCCCTCCTGCCCACTGGGTGTGTGGAGTGTGCTGGGCCCATCTTACCGCCCCAGTGCCCACCGTTGTAGCTGAAGTCCAGGAGCTGACTGCTGCGTTGCCGGGGCTTATCTGGCCAGGAGGGACCGCAGGATGCCTTCAAGTAGGGGGGTGGCGGGGTTTCTGCAGGGTAGAGAGAAGGCAATGAGAGGCTGGCAGTGCATCCTGCCCCACCAGGGCCCACTGGAGCCAGAGACAGCCCCGGAGAGCAGAGGTCAGAGCCTGTGGGCAGGGGAGCCTCCGGTGTTGCCACCAGCACTCACCAGGTACAGCCAGGCGGCTGAAGTGGTGSGGGTTGCAGCACAGCACAGCCAAGTCCCCGCAGCCTCCCCGGCCCCTGGTGCAGTAGCAGAGGTGCTTGAGCTCGTGGGACTGCTGGAGGTCAGGCCAGCGGAAGAGACGGCAGAGCAGGACGTGAGGGGCGAGCCCCTGCTTGACCCCTCGTGGCTCCCCCCGTGGTGCCAAAATGCAGCCGGACTCGCAGGCGCCCCGGCTCTCCACCACCTGCACCAGCAGCTCCAGCTCCTCATCCTTCAGCTTCTTGAAGAGCGCGTGTGCTGCCGGTTTGAGGGCACCGGGGCCGTCCTCAGGGCTCGCTGCCRCACAGCGCTGCCGCCACAGCCGCCGCACCAGCCCGGCACGGCGTGAACGGAACATTGGCTGCAGTGGGGACCAACTGCAGGATGGGGACAGGCATCACAGCTGTGCCCTGAGGGGCTGTGGCTGCAGTGGTGACCCTGCTGCATCCTCCTGTGTCCTCCCAAATCCCTGACAAGGCTGCTTTGCCTAGGTTTGCCGCTGCCATCCCCACCATGAGGGCACGGTGCTGCTTCAAGGGACACCGGCATCCCCAAGCTCGCATCAGAYAACCCCAAAACCAACCCCTACTGCTGGGGAACCTAACTGTGCTCAGACAGCAGTGGCAGGGGTCCACATGCTCCTGCCCACAGCACCCASCCCCTCCCTTCTCAGCCCCCTATCACACAACTGAGCAAAGGGTCCCTGGAGAAGAGGGTCTCACTCACGGTGGSTGGTGGAGGTGGGTGGTAGGCTCCAGGGCAGCGCATGGGGCTGTGTTCTCAGGGCGGCCRGCACTGTTCTGCCTACCACACGTCACTGCCTCGACTTTTTCCTGTGCTGGGACGCTCTCCCCTCCCCCGGACCTTCCCGTTTGGGGAATTCATTGATTCCCCCCATCCCAGCCAGCCCTGGGGCTGAGCCACTGCCAGGGCCACCATGTCAGGGCCACCACACCACGACTTGGCAGGCGCCACATGCGTGGGCTCCAGTGGTCCGGGATGCCCAGCACTGTGCTACCAAGGCAACCAYGCACAGCCAGGAGCCCAGACAGCACCACAGACACCAGTGCATATAACCACAGGGCAGAGTCCCACTGAGGAGCAGACCTGGGCAGGGGGATGCCAGGAGACACAGGAGACTGTCCTGGCAGACCCCATTCCTCTCTACTCATGCCCCCACAGGGTCCATTGCAAGGGCCACCCAAGCCCCTCGTGGCATCTTGGACAGGGGGTCCTGTTGTCCCTCAGTTCTTGGCCTGGACAGGGCCCCCCYGCAGGCACTGGGTGAGGGTGGGAGCCTGCTCCACAACAAAGAAGCTAATGTAAACGGGACCCTTATCCTGCACCGGGTCAGGCTTCCTGCTCCTGACTTCCCGCCGAGATAAGGGAGGCCACACTGGCGCCAGCGCTGCTGCCGAGGACGGGGCGTGTGGAGCTTCCCCTGCGCTGGGGCCAGGCACCAGCACAGGCAGCACTGAGTCAGGGTGGGTTCATGGACCCACAGCCATCTCCACAGCCTGGCTCTGGTGCCACCAGCTGTGACCTTTGCTGCAGCTCCCAGTAAGGCTGGGCCCATTGGAGATATTTTGTTCTGGCTCCTTCCCCATGACTGGGACAGGAAATGATCAGGAGTCAGGGTGCAGGCTGAAGGTGTGGTCAGAACCTCAGCTCCCCACTCCTGCCCCTTGGCCCAAGCAGACATGGGGACCCTCAGTCCTGGACAGGAGCAAGGGTTGTTCTGGAGTGCCYTATTGCTACCCAGGGCTAGAGTTGGAAGATTTGGAGACACACACAGACACGCACATTCCCAGAGCTCTGCCCAAACAGATGCAGCCAGTCAGGCACTGCTCAGGTTTATTGGGRTCTCTGACTGGAGGGAGCACAGGCTGGAGCAGAGTCCAAGCACCAGAGGTCCATCAGCTCCATCAGTAGAGGGTAACAAGCACAGTCCTGGGGAGGGGAGAGAGGCACAGGGGGTAAGGACCAATACCAAAGCTGCACCCTCTCAACCTCCCAAAGCACCACAGCCAGGCTCCATATCTCCCCTCAAGCACCACGACCAGGCCCTTTCCACTCCAGGAGCCCCACGCTTGGGCTCCATCACCCCCAAACACCACAGCCATGCCCCTGTCACGTCCCTCAAGCACCACATCACGTCAAGCTGCAGGCACGTCACTCACCCACAGCACCAGTGCAGACAGAGGGTATCAGGTTTCTGCAGTTCTGGGGGGGCCATTCCTAGTCCAGCAGCTCACGGATGCACCAGCTGCAGAGAAGGAGGTAGATGCATTCCCGCAGCAGCCGCAGGAACCAGGAGCCCAGGCGCACCCCCAAGGAGGTGGCAGTGGGTGCCGCCAGTGCCCGTGCCACTTGCCGGGAAGCGCCCGGCGGACAGGCTGCTGCAGTCCAGAAGAAGTGCATGGCTGATGAGGGATCAGCAGGATCTGACATGGTGGGAGCRGTAGTGGTGCTGATGTGTGGGGCCCTGGCTAGCACTGGAACCTTCTACATTCTCTGTGCTTCCAAAACTTCCACAATAGTGCGTGCRGAGAGCGGCTACAGCCTGGGGACCYTTTTGTTCCTCCCACTCCTGCCCCATGGAGCCCTCAGGGCTCAATGAGGCCACGTGCCAGTGCAGTGCAGACTGCAGTGGGTTTATTCAGTGCTGACAGGCAGCAACTTTATTCAGTGTAATTTCTGGCAGCATTCCAGYGGAGCTCTCCCTTCCAGTGAGAGCGAGGCTTTCACTGGCGAGAGGTGCGCTCTTCTTCCTCATTTTCCAGCTCATAGGCAGGTCGGTAGCTCTCCCRGCCCCGAGCATCAGTATAGCGTAGTGCTGGGTTCTTCTGTGTGTTGGCCATGCTCCCCAGGGACGTGTAGCTGCAGAGGGAAGAAGCAGCTGCAGGATTGTACACAGAGGCATTGGCTGCACATGTGATGAGGGCAGCACTGGGCACTCACCCCTTGTCATAGAGGATACAGTAGGGGACAAAGAGCTTGCGCAGGAACTCCCAGATGTCCCGGTAGGTCCAGTCCTGCAGGTAGAATGGTGTGGGCATTGAGGCAGAGGGAACAAACTGCTCCCTTAGCCCCTGGGGGAGCAAGCTGGACCTTCCTGCAGAGCACCTGGGAGAGCCAGATGGTCATCAGAGCACCACTGTCCCTCCCAGTGCCTCCCCAAGCACAGCAAAACCCCCCAGCAGGCAAGAATGAGCCCTACCCAACAGCACCAAACAGCCTTGCGGCAGCAAGAGGCACCCACAGCTGTAGAGTAGGAACCAAGAGAGAAGCTGTTAAGATGGGGGTGGGTCACTGCTAGCTCCCAACCCTGTTAGGTCCCCATCAAGCCCTGTGGCAACAATCCCAGTCCCAAAGCAGGTGAAGGCTACCTACCAGCAAGGGGTTCACCCGCATGTAAGGGGGCCAGTCAGGRTCTGTCTGACACATGGGGGTCAAGGTGCGTGAGTAAGGGTCYGTCCGCCGCGTTCCCATCAGGACAGCCTCCAGCTGTGGCTGCTGCTCCTTCAAGCGGGCCAGCGCCTCCCGGATGGAGCCCTCCACTGTGCAGAGCTGGACCCCGTACCTGTACAGGCATGGTGGGCAGCAAGCAGCACTGCACGCCCTCTGCCCACCCCACGCTGTTTCCTACCTCTGCACCGTTGCCTGAATGAACTGCTCCATTTCAGGGAACGGGGACACAGTGCGAATGTAGAGCACCCGTAGCTTCTCTTGTCTCGTTGGGAATCGCCTGCAGAGAGACACGATGCAGCTGGACGCTGACYGACAGCAACTGGAGGCAAGGCAGCRTCCAGTTCCCACCAGCTAGGACCCAGGAATCCACTCATTCCCGCAGGGTGGAACAAGCAAGACCCCCAGAGCCCTGGCCAGGGTCTGCAGGACCCCTCAGCCTTGCCCCAGCCTGGGTGGGTGGGTACCTCTGCACGGCAGCATGGACGAGGTGCAGCAGGGCTGTGCAGTCCTTGCCCCCGTTGAAGCCCACGCAGAGCTGGACCAGGCTGTACTGGTCCAAAGCCTCTTCAATGGTTTTCAGGGCTGCTGCCACCTTCTGCCCCAGGGCCGAGCCTGCCAGGATGGGACAGTTGGTGCCTGCCCAGGTCATGCTGTGCTGGCATGGCCCCCGGGCCTAAAGYACTTCACCCTCTGGATATGTCTCATATTCAGACATAACAGAGCCATTGCTGGCATCACAGCAAAGAGCTTGTTCAGCCTGGAGGTTTGGGCCACAATGCAACAGGGATCGTGAGGGCACTGGGGAACCGTGGCACTGCTGCTACTACAGCACACTGTGCTCTCAGACCCTGCCACCASCAGCCCTAACTGGGGTTACAGGTCCCATTCCCACCTGTGTGGGATGAAGCCCACTGCAGCCRCAGCACCCCTCAAGCCTCCCAGCACACCACAACAGGCAAGCTCTGCTCCCAGGCTGATGTTCCACAGCCCCAGCCCTGCTGGGCTCCATAGGAGAAACATGGAGGCACGGAGCTGTGCTGCAGCACCTCTTCCRGGTACCTGACTCAGCCAGGCCATAAACCTCCACAGCCGCTTGAGAGACGCAGTCTGTCACCAACGACACAGCAACACCCGAGGGCAGCTCCCTCGTCAAGAAGCAATACGCTTCCTCCAGGTCCTGCTCCGACTCTGAGTCCAGGGTCAGCTTCACACGGTAGTAGTTGCTGTCCCAGTCTGGGTAGGAGCCCAAGCTGACACGGCCCCGGAAGGTGGCGTGAGCCCGGTCCAGAACGGGCGTGATGAGGATCTCATCAGCTGCCACATAGATGGTGCGGGAGTGGAAGCGGGTCTGCTCGCTGCGAAACAGGTGAGCAAGGCCATCCAGRGCACGCTCCATCAGTGCCGGGATGCCAGGGAAGATGTAGACATTGCGCACRCTGACTAGTGGGTACTTGAAGGTGTTGCCAGTGTGCCTGTCCGTGCCGTAGTTGAGGTGGGAGGACTCGGGGACACGAGCCAGCTTCATCTCAGGGCATTGTGCCTCTGTTTTGCCGAARAACTTGTGCACCAGGGCCACTAGCTCGGGGTGGGGGACGACCCTCTCCCCAAAAGCCTTAGCCACGGCCTCGAAGGTCACATCGTCGTGCGTGGGGCCGATGCCCCCGGAAGTCAGCACGTAGGTGAAGTGAGAGGCAAAGGTGGCCACCTCACTGGCAATGGCCTCCACCTCATCGGGCACCACCGAGATCCGGGCSACCCTCACGCCAAGAGCACGCAGTCGCCGGCACATGAAGAAGGAGTTTGTATCCTGCGTGTGGCCCTGGGGGGAACGCAGACGCCCATGACAGCGGGGTGCCCCGGCCCCAGGCGCAGACCCCAGCCCAGCCCACCCCGCAGCCCAGGCCCACCCCCGGCCGCACCTTGAGGATCTCGTCGCCGATGATGATGATGCCGGCGGTGGTGGCGGAGCCGGGGGCCACCGCCGCCGGACTCGAGGTGGCCATGAGGCGAGAGACGGCGGCGCGCAGGGGCCAACCCCCCCGGCCCTCAGCCCGCAGCGCGGCCCGCAGCGCCCCCCACATGAACCCGCCCGGGCGCCCCCGCCAACCGCGACACCGCCCCTCGCGCTCATTGGCTGACCCGCACGTCCGTCACGCCGCATTCCCAGCACCTATTGGCCGAGAGGCGGGACTTGCGCGGACGGAACCATCGCAGGGGGGAGTTGGTGCCGGGACAGCTCTGCCTCCACGGCCGTGCTCAGTGGGCCGAGGTATGTGCACCCCCCTCTCCGCAGTGGGAGCGCCCTCCCCCTCAGGCGCCGGGACCCCATGCAGGAGAAGCTCCACGGCACCGGGACGCCCTCGCTCTGCGCCTCACGCTGCCTCCCCCCAGCACGGCAGACAGACAGCTCCCAAACATCACTTTATTGAAGCTTTGGAGGCCTCGCAACGGGAAAGGCCCCCGGAACCACGGCCGAGTCGCCAAAACGGCGCCCAGGCAGCATCGAGGGTCGGGGCTGAAGTCCCCGAAGAATGCCGAGAAGGAGGAGTAGGAGGAAGGTGCATTCTCAGCTTGAAAGGGCTGGGAGCTTCGGCAGGCCAGGGGCCACTCACTTTTCCGGCTTCTTAGGCAATGGCCGTCGGAAGAGCAGGATGTGGGGCTCTGGGGGGCAAGAGAGGCGATTAGGCCGGGCCCCCCGGGCACCACCCGCCCCCCCGCGGGGCTCACCTGGCTCGTGGATCATGTAGTGGACCCAGCCCTGGCTCTGCTGCACCCCCAGGTTCCGCCACTCCGATTCCGACAGCAGGTGGGTCTTGGGCACCAGCTTGGCGATGTCCTTGGGCAGCATCACATGCCTGCGCCCCCGCAACCCTCAGTCAACACGGGAGCAATCCCCACAATCCCTCATTCCCCAGGACAGAAATTTTTCTACAGAGGAGYTGTTAACGGGACCAGGATTTGCACTATGACCCGATACAGAACCCTTACTGCATCACTAGGGAGCCATRAGTCGCCCACCACTCCCCACCAGCGAGCCCTTAATAGCTTATCCACACTACCGTTATCAAGACATTTCCCGCCCCCAACCCCCCTTCCTCCCCTCCCGCCCCGGTAAACCTTAACCGAGAACCCGCCATCCTTCCCGAGCAGACGTTCCCGGGACCCCTGCCCGCTCCGTACCGGTACTCAAACTCCTCATCATCGTACTTGTCCGAGTAGTAGATCTGTTTGTGCGCCATGATGGGCCCGCGGTGCCCTCCCCGAGGCAGCCGTTTGCGCCCCCGCCCCCCGCGGCGCTTTCAAACACCGCCGCCCCGCGCTCCCATTGGCTGGCGCCTCCCCGTGGGCGGGGCGGGGCTGKTTCCCATTGGCCGGCACGCGCGCGGCGGGGCGAGGTCGTGGCGCCGCTTCCCGCGGGTCGAGCGAGGCCCGCGATTGGCTGGCGGGGGTCACGTGACACGAGCGCGGCGCGGCCACGCCGGAGGGGTGCGGGCCGGAAGTGAGTGGCGGGGAGCGCGGCGGGGGGG